TGTTTATTACTTTAATAACATATTGTTTATAGTAGGTTAAGGTAATTTGCATTTAAATTTTATACATTAGGTAGTTTTTAAGTTGTTGTTATTTTATTTTCTATATATTGTAATACTGTAAATAAAAAGCACATATGCAATAGCATTCATATTTCATGTAAATATTCACCAATCTAATTGTGATTTTATCTCGCCTGCTAAACGGTGGGCGTTAGGAAAAGAAATGATACCATTGTCATTCCGTATGCAAGTTTTATGGTCCAACAGTACAGTAACTAAACGGTGTGGATCATAAACTCCATCCAGCATTTATATTAACGGCCACGGTTATAAAGATTCATTTTCCTCTCTCATTTTCCCAGTCTCGGAAAATTATAAACGTTTCGTTTACGTAGGCGGCGGCGAGAGAGACAAAACACATATTTTATAATCCCAGTGACTCACACGCGTCCACCGGCTCTCTTACATTAACGCTTGACAGACGGAATGGACGAAGTTTCTATTATATTTGTTTAACTTTTTAAATTAATAACGTATTTATATAATGTTGAATGTCAACATCCTCGTTTCGTTTCGTGGATTATGAAATATTGGCCGTTTGCGACTCTGCTTATTGCTCGCTCACAGCAAAGTTTACCGCGATGACTGTTGATAAAATAAAGAGTTAACTCGTTAACTTGAATAGCTGTGATGTCACATATATTCGTTCCAACAATTTCCTGGGGTAAGTGACCTGTTAAACTTTGAGTTTTTTAAATGTTTCAATCATGCGAACATGAATAAGTAATTATGAGTAGGCAATTCTGGCGAATGCGTGAATTTTAGTCTCAATTAATTTTTTTTTATGGTAAAAGAATGGAAACTAACTAATAGTATATGACCTGCCTGATAGTAAGGGGCAGTTGTTAATTACGTATTTATAAATCAACCAATCAATTATCAATAACAATTTTATGATATGGTGAAATTTAGTAGAAGCGACTTCCCAAAATCTCAGCCGTACGACGCCAACTGCTGAGCATAGGCTCCCCCAATGATCTCAACATTGATTGGTCCTGTGTCATGTGCATCCATCGGATTCCCGCGACCTTTACCAGATCGTCGATCCACCTAGTGGGGCCTGCCCAACCAGCGTTGTCCTTTCAGCTTTCAACCCCAACGGCCATCGGTTCTCCTCGCTATGTATCCCGTCCACTGCCACTTCAGCTGAGCAATCCTTGGAGCGATGTCGGTTACTTTAGTGCTCTTACGGATTTTCTCATTTCTGATTAGACTGCCCTGGCAATGTATAGATATTGCATTTACTTAGTAATATTTTATTGCTGAATGGCTCAATATTTATTTCGACGAAAAAAGGCTCAGGATATTTACTAGGTATCTATATGGAAGACCTGTGCCCCAGCAGTGGGGATATTAATAGGCTGATGATGATGATGTCGATTCGTAAGCAGCATAATTATGAACCTATACAAATATGATGACTGACAGGATATCATAAGGCAAATCAAGAGTATAAGTATTATATTTAATAAAAAATACTTAAAATTAAGTAGTAACATCGCCATTGACGCCAAATTTTGCATTGTTTCTGAAATATTTTTCGAAATTAACAATAAGAGACTACTTTGACTGTTTTGCCAACTGGTAACATAAAGATATAGGTATCAGATCCATCTTAGCTAATCGTTTGATTTTCTTTTAAACTTGCTATATAAAAAAAACAAATCATTATATATTTTTTTCTTTCATTTGAGTGCATCAAAAATAAGGTTTAATTTAAAAGTAGGTACTTTGTGTAAGAGAAATGGTTGACAATTAGTAGAAAACCACTAGAGAAAAAGCAACAAAATTTGTTAGTTAGTGACCTGGTGATCTTGTCAATAAATGTTGACCTTGATCTTACATTGAGTTTTTACGACTGTTTAATTTAGAAGAACGAATTAATGATCCCAACTTTTACTACTGAGCGGTGTTACGGCTATTTTAGAAGTTGGCATAGCTATTTTGAAAACTGGCCGAAAATAATTTATGATAGAAAAGGACAATGCAAGTAAGTAAAAAATGCGTTTATTTGTAATATAACACAATATTTAAGACGTGAACAAAATTTATTTCTATTAATACAATAAATATTAATGGAAATCCTCTTTTCAAATAACAGGCCATACCGACATTTTATTCCGACTTTTGCAAATAAAGTGTAAGATCAATAATTTCTGAGTCTGTCGTCCATTGTACACAACTACAAACAACCCGCAGAAAACTAAATCCTGGGCTTGCGTGTTTCACGATGAGTGAAAATTTCCGCGTGCGGGGCAATCCCGCGTGCGTGATGAAATCAGCATAATATTTTAAACATCCTAAAGGCCTGCGTTGCCTTAAAGTAGCTCGGCTATCTCACGTCCGTGATGATATCACGTTTAAAACACCCTAAGGACCTGCGCTGCCTTAACCTAGCACGGCAGTCCCGCGTGCGTGATGATATCAGCACGATATTTAAAACACCCTAAGGACCTGCGCTGCCTAAACCTAGCACAGCAGTCCCGCGTGCATGATGAAATCAGCACGATATTTAAAACACACCAAGGACCTGCGCTGCCTTAACCTAGCACGGCAGTCCCGCGTGCGTGACGATATCAGCACGATATTTAAAGCACCCCAAGGGCCTGCGCTGCCTTAAGGTAGCACGGCAATCCCGCATGCGTGATGAAATCAGCACAATATTTTAAACACCCTAAGGGCTTGCGCTGCCTTAAGGTAGCACGGCAATCCCGCGTGCGTGATGAAATCAGCACGCTATTTAAAACACCCTAAGGGCCTGCGTTGCTTTAAGCTAACACGGCAATCCCGCGTGCGTGATGGAACCAGCAAGATATTTAAAACACGCTAAGGCCAGCGCTGCCTTAAGCTAGCTCGGCAATCCCACGCCCGTGATGAAATCAGCACGATATTTAAAACACACCAAGGACCTGCGCTGCCTTAACCTAGCGCGGCAGTCCCGCGTGCGTGATGATATCAGCACGATATTTAAAACACCCTAAGGACCTGCGCTGCCCAAACCTAGCCCGGCAGTCCCACGTGCATGATGAAATCAGCAAGATATTTAAAGCACCCCAAGGGCCTGCGCTGCCTTAAGGTAGCACGGCAATCCCGCATACGTGATGAAATCAGCACAATATTTTAAACACCCTAAGGGCTTGTGCTGCCTTAAGCTAGCACGCCAATCCCTCGTGCGTGATGAAATCAGCACGATATTTAAAGCACCCCAAGGGCCTGCGCTGCCTTAAGGTAGCACGGCAATCCCGCATGCGTGATGAAATCAGCACAATATTTTAAACACCCTAAGGTCCGCTCGGCGTGCAGCATCATGTCATTTCATCGTCGAGGTCCGGTCCGTGCTCCTTCGTGCTTAAGGCAGCGCACGCCCTAAGATGATGAAGGCGCAAGCGAGATGTCGCTGAAATTAAATCCGCGATAGATGCGCTCGCTGTAATTTCACATCCGCCATAAAGTTGATACTATAAGGCTATCATATTTCATTGATTAAAGAGCGAGTTCTTCTTAGTACAAAGTTTTCTTCTTTACGAACCGATGGCGTAGCTCCCAGATATTAATGAGTGCTTGCAACAACCTAAATCTTAGATTAAATCAAAATGGGAAGATACTGTTAGGTCTTAGCAGCCATATCAACTTGGAAAGGGATCGTATCTACTCTAGCCGTTCAGCAATCTTTATGTGAAACTCCATAATGTAACGCACACTTATCGAAATCGCCTCACATCGAGATAAGCTCCCAAAGGTGCGTGATCAACTCTTCATAGCCTAGCTTACGTCTCCCCGTAGCCTAGTCTCCGTCTTTCCGTAGCCTAGCTTACGTTTCCCCATAACCTAGCCTCCGTCTTTCCGTAGCATAGCTTACGTCTCTCCTTATCCTAGCTTACGTCTCTTCTTCGTTCACGCCTCTCCCGTGGCTTGTGTCGCGCACGTTCTGTCCTTAAAGAAACCTACCACCTAACCACTTCGTTTTAAGTGGTTTTACTGACCCCTAAAACGGAGTGGTTACATTCCGTATAACTGATCGAACTTGTGCCGCCTAGCCGTGAACCAGCGATCGCCGAGCCGAACATGCTGGGGCTGCTTATCTGATTACTTTACATGCCTACGTTAGGTGGACGCCTATTTGACGACAAGCCGAAAGGTGAGTCGTTATAGATCCCTTTCCGAGTTGATATTTGCGCTATGACGCTTAGTCACAATTTGATTTTATAAGCAAACACGCTGCATGGGCTCTTATTAAACAATGTTTATTTATTCATGGAAACCAATCAGCATGTTAAAATAAAGGATAAAACAAAATTATGTAGTATTGATAAGCCTTACACAGTTTTCACAAGTATAAAACAAACATGATATAATTTATCCAATACACTCACGAGGCCGTAGTTAATTCATTATTTAAAAACAATAGAAACAGAAGTATAAAACTAAGTAAAAGCTATACCGACAGAGAAAATGATGATAAATTGGTTAATGTAACAATCATAGTGAGGTTGCGGATATTCTGTGTTAAAATGATAAAAAAATGTCTTGAGCTTTTAAAAAGTTCACAAATAGTTCATCGGCATTACTTTTCATTCGTAATATTTTAAAACTCTGTTCTGAATTTTATTCGCACAAATTTGCCATTTGTTATCCAGAAAAGGACAACAAGCCGTTTGTAGAGAGAGAAAGAGCATCTGCATTCGGTTGTCAAGCGGCGCGTACTCGCCGACTCGCCCGCGCTGCTTTGAAGCGTACAGTTCTATTTCTCTAGCTCTATTGAATGTTTATTTTATTATAGGTATGTGTGTGAGTTACTTATGTGTTTGAGTCGGAGCACCTTTATAAAACACTAGTAAGAGCGTACCATTTTTCATGTAATTTAAAATCTAAGCCATAGACAAAATAAATTGTTTTAAATTTGTTGGTATCGGTGGGATGACGTCACGCGTTATGTGCAGGGCAGCTGTCGCTGGACAGACGGCAGCGGGCGCTGCGTGCGGCTCACCGACACCTCCCTACTGACGCTCAGCGAGGTGGAGCGGCGCGCTCTGCAGCAGGCGGCGCTCGCAAGGCTGCAGCAGATCAACCTCGGCACCACCATCAAGATTCCAGAAGGTAAGAACTGTTCTCTGTAGACATAATTATAGTTGGATAGGCTCACGGACACCGCCCTACTGCCGCGACGCACAGTGAGGTGGAGCGGCGCGTCCTGCAGCAGGCGCGCTCGCAAGGCTGCAGAAGATCAATCTCGGCACCACCATCAAGTACCAGAAGGTGAGAACTGTTCTCTGTATACATATTGTAGTTAGACAGGCATAAGGACACCTTTCTTCTGACGTTCAGCGAGGTGGAGCGGCGCGCTCTGCAACATATCAACCTCGGCATCATCATCAAGTACCAGAAGGTGAGAACTGTTCTCTGTATACATATTGTAGTTAGACAGGCATAAGGACACCTTTCTTCTAACGCTCAGCGAGGTGGAGCGGCGCGCTCTGCAACAGATCAACCTAGGCACCACCATCAAGATTTCAGAAGGTGAACATTTTTCGTCTGTTCTAAACAAAGTAAAATAGAAAGCCAATCGCCTAACGGGATTGCTTTGGTTGACGCGCTTACGATTTCATTTTGTTATTTCTGACCGTCGAAGGTTTTGAAGTAATTCAAAACAGTAGTCAAAGTAATCACGTTAGGCGATTGGCTCCTCTTGCTTTCAAAGTTGATTCTTATAGTTTTCTTTCTTTTGCAGTATGACATGATGTTGGTAGCTTTTGGTACAATGTACAATTTAAGAATCTCTTTTATGACATAAAAGTGTTTGTTCATTTTAAAAGAATTTGTTAAATAAATTCACGGAAAGCGGTTTTCCCCTCATGCAGAAAATGATTTTTAGCTTTGATCAGAACGAGTCTAATGTCAGCAAAAAAGTGTTAATATGAAATATTTGCCTTGACAATTTAAACTCGTACCGAGTAGAAAAGAAGTACAGAATTTATATTTCACAACAAGAAAATCGCTGACAAAGCCGTATTAGAAAAATATTTGTAAATCGTTAACTTAGTAGACAATGTCCATTTCGAGATCAAGGCAAATCCTATTAGAGATAATAATATAGCCACAAATCTAACGTATAATTTGACAAGGCACGGTCAGAGACAGACGAAGATCTTTTAACGGCCGGCTAATGGTTTTATTGCCGCTGCCGATTTTAACGACTCTTGTTTGAAGCTCTGTTCAATTTGAGGGGAAATAAAGCTTTACACACTAGACGAAACTAGTACTTCATAAATTTTAATGAACTGCCATTGTGATTATTAAAATTAAGACTAAAATTTGAGAAACCTATATATTCTATGCATCAGTAGGGGAGATCTAGGAGATTTGTGACAGAGACGATTGGTAATGTCAATGGAAAATGCCAACGATGCCGTTTTGAAGCTTTAGAGGCGGCTATTTCACTTGTTTTGCGCATTTAACCAAAAATATGGTGCTTAGGTAAAACGGGTCCTAAACTACGCAACAAAATTTTCATGGAAGGTTTATGTAGGTTTGAATTATATAAAGAAATTAATTGTGTACTATAGAAGGCTCACAACAAAAACTATAGTCTACACTACAGCTCTACACCGAAGCGAAGCGAGGGCGGGCTAGTTAAAACTAGTGAGTTTTAAATAAAGTAAATTTTTGGTCCCTCGTTGGTGCGTTGTTGCATGCTAGATAATAATAAATAAATAATAAATATTTCCAACACTCACACCAAATTAGCCTAGCCCCAAAGTAAGCACTATAAGGCTTGTGTTATGGGATGCTAGGTTAACGGATAGAATACATATACTGTACATATATAAGTATAGTTATATAGAAATACATATTAAACATCCATGACTGGAGTACAAATGCGAATTCATCACACAAACATCTGCCCCCACCGGGATCGAACCCGGGACCTCTCGAGTCGGCGACACCATGAAACCCGGCGTACAAACCACTCGGCCACGGAGGTCGTCAAGATGACTACATTTTTATTACAGATAGCCAAAAATATGTTTTATTATTTTTAATAATATGTGTAGTAGTGTTTTTGATATTCAAATAGTCTAAATACAAAGCTGTCACAACTTACTCGGTAACTGTCACAAATTACCTCGGTGATAGGAGAGTTGTGATGGAGGGATTATTTTTATTTTTGATGATTTTCTCGGAAACCGTAATAATAATAATAATAAATAATTCTTATTTCAGGCACTGGTATGCATTCAAATTCATGTCCCACAGATTATTAATTACAATTATATCCACTTATGTACGTTTCGTCAAAATTTAAATTAAACATTATTATTACGGTATTCTAAGTCAATAATCTATGAATTATTATTATTCTATATTGTGTTGAACATTGAATTATTTCTGATAAAATTTTTAGATTACAAAAATTTAAGTCATAGGTACATAAATAAAGTTCGAATTACAGCCAAAACAATGCTCTTGGTACATTTTATCAGTCTATTGTGGAATGAGACTTTAAATCCAATCATAAGTTCATGAAGGTTTTTCACTTTATGTATTAAACATGTCCGTTGCGCTACATCTCCATAGCAACCCTAACATTGCACGAAATGCATTGTTGTATCGTTTAAAGTTTACTTTGTTAAACTTATACCAAAGGCCAGCAGTATAAAATGCCTGGCAATATGATTTGAATAATGTTACTTTAACTTGTTCAGAACAAGATAAAAAACGCCTTGCTAACATATTGCTTTTCATAGCAAGATTTATTCTCTGTATTTCCAGGTCCTCGTGATCACACAAAGTATCATTTGAAACTTGTCCTAAGTACCTATTTAAACTGAGCAAAAATATTTTATATTAATTTTGATCATTCATCATGGCATAGTCACGTTTTTGTAATACCAATATGCCATACAACGTTTTTCAACACATTTGCGAGAAAACATTGAAGAAATAATTGCAAGTAATGAAGCAATTTTTTATAATAAGAAAATGGCGCCCATTTTCAAATGGCGACACGTGCGGCTGGTGAAAAATAGAACTATGTACATCTTTTGTCTCTCTTATTAAAGTGAGACATAGGTATAAACTAAAAGCGCTAACGAGGAGGTTCAATCTAAATTTAAAAAAAAACCGTACAGCATACGTCCGGTGCCATGCATGGGAGCGTACGTAATGATATTTTACCGCCTTTACCGCAAGTTCCATTCTATGGCCCGTAATTTTCAATTTTCGAACAATGTATAAAATTTTTAGAACAAATGTGTTGAAAAGTGGTTTTACATATTGTATATATGTTTTTAAGTACTTCATGCAGTTATAATGAAGATTCTATCACAACAAAGCGTGCGCAGTGTAGCCAAAAGCACGAATGTAATCTCGTTTTCTTATTATTATGACCACACCAATTTACCGACAGTAACGGGAAAACCTTTTTTGTCGTGATAAACATTCACAATGGAACGAATATCTCGACCAGACATATCATGACAACGGAAATCTTCGCCTCATCGCTATAGAGTGGGTGGCCTTAGCATTATGTTAATACCTTAGTATCTTGTAGTGCTCAACCCTACAGTTGAGTAAAACGTAAAGAATGCAGCTGAGAACACGTGTGATGAAGGCATGACATTACCACCATCTGGTGACAACAATGTACTAATAATAACACAAATATGCGCAGGAATGATGCTCCACAAACCACTTAGTGTTTATGTTATTTTGGAGTTATTTTGGCTGCACATTGTATTTATATTTAGTAGAACTGTTGTCAAAAGTAAGCCACTTTTACATACAAATGAGAATTTGTTGAGATAAATAAATAATACCTTGGTTATTAACCTAACATTTTATATTTACAGCATGGTTTAGATAAAGGTGATAAAAGTCGATCAGTAGCAGCAAGGGACGGATTTAGAGGTGTGGAGGCCATGGGGCAACGCAGGAGGCTCCTACTCGTATTTTAAGATCTGGTACCCCGAGCCACTTACGATTTGAACCCCCCTCCCTCGATGGTGACCCGTCGTTTGGCATTTTTGAAGTGAAAACTTCTTTAGCGGCGTTGTACACCTGTTGTTGTTTTGTATGGGTAAAAAATGTTAAACTCGCGTCAGGTTAAACACGTGAGCTGATCGCATCATGACACAGAATAAAATTGAAAAGGTTGTTGAATTTCAATATATTGGACAAAACATAGTAATATTTTATTTTACCGTATTCTAATAATAAGTCTCTATATAGGACGTCCACGTGGCAGCTTTATTGCGAAGAAAATGCATTTTTTTACAATAGATTTCGCTAGGTGCGCTTAAATGTGATTCATGTAAGTTCATTTCTTTACAATAGATGTCGCTAAGTGCGCTTAAACGTGATTCATGTAAGTTGGTTTTTGCTGAGAGATAAACTTTTTTAATGTAATATAAATTGTCATGTTTGCGTACGATACCGCAATAAATAAATATTGTATTCTACCACATACATGATAGTACTTTAATACTGATAATTAAAGCAATTCGTGCAAAATCATTCCCTAACCATTCCAAAATATCAAAAATGCACAACGTTAATATTCAGGTTTTCACTTCTGCCGGCACTCCCGGAGTGAAACCCGTCGTTTTTTTTCTCTGTTGGCGCCCCTCTCTTGTGGGATTTCTAGGCTTCTTAGAAAAATGCTGCCCCACTGGCCCCTAGGCCACATCCCATCTTAAAACTGCCCTGAGTGACAGTATAAAGTATATAGTATGAAAATTTATAAACCGTTAGTTTCATCATAGAATATTGTCAATAGAGTCAATGATAGTACCTACGCTTTAAGTAGGAAGCACTTTATGCATGCAATAATAGGCGATTCGTTAGACTTTAAAAAAAGTTAAATAAAATAAAATTAATCTTTACGACCTACTCGAGAATACAGTGTTCTATATTTATCTGACACACGCGAGAAATGCACGGCTATTTTCAAAATGGCCGCCTTAAATAAATACATGCGTTACGCAAGCGTGACGCAGGTGACGTCACGGCGCCCCTCGGGCTATTCAGAATGCGTGCAAGATGTTTTTTTTTCATATAAAATATATTTATATTGTAATGAAATAGTATTTGATATGAGT